TCGGCTGCGTAGCAGTGTTAGCTGGTTTTGGCAGGAGCGAGGACGTGAAGGCTCACATGATCCCAATGACCGCTGTCCAGTCCTACCCCACTGGCAAGGCTGCTACAGAAGGCAGGGATCTGGGGGACCCACTCTGCTGATCCTCTCTTTATTCTCTCAGACAGGGAATCGTTATCTGGGTGTAGAAATGCAGACTTACATCTTCCTCTTCACCCCGAGAATACGGTTGGATTGCACCAAAGAAATCAAAAACTGGATAAGCTGTGAGGAGAAAAGAAAACAGGAACACCTGTTACGGTGCGGACGGCGTTCCGGGAGCGCCAGGGCCGGGCACGCAGAGCGCCGCCCGCAACGCTGAGCACAGAGGCGAAGGCTGGGGGCAAGGCCATCCCATGGCAGCCGACCGAGTTCTTCACCAAAAGGGCTGTCAGGCTCTGGAAGGGGCTGCCCGGGGAGGTGGTCGAGTCCCCACCCCTGGGGGGATTTAAAGGAAGGAGAGATGAGGTGCTGAGGGACAGGGTTCAGTGGTGGGATGGCAGGGGTAGGTTAAAGGTTGGACTCGATGAGCTTAAAGGGCTTTTCCAACCAAAGTGATTCTATGGTTCGTTGGTAACGCTGCCAGCCCAATCCAGCCCCTCCCCGCTGGACCTCCAGAGTCTCCCGGTAATGGGAGGAAAATGCAGCCGTCAAAATTGTTCTTGGAACAGAACTAACACCGCTGCATCCCAGCAGTCCCGCGAGCACCCGGCCTGGTCGCTGCACCATCGTGTACGTGGAACACGAGGGCATGGTCATGAACACGAGGGCATGGTCGTGAACATGAGGGCATGGTCGTGAACATGAGGGCATGGTCGTGAACACGAGGGCAAACACGTGAACATGAGGGCATGGTCGTGAACACGAAAGCATGGTCGTGAACACGAGGGCACGGTCGTGAACACGAGGACAAATACGTGAACACGAGGGCAAATACATGAACACGAGGGCACGTTTTGAATACGAGGGCACATATGTGAACACCAGGGCACATACGCGAATGTGAGGGCCCATTTGTGAACACGAGAGCACGTTCGTGAACATGAGGGGACGTTCGTGAACCCAACAGCACGTTCCTGAACACAAGGGCACAGCTGTGAACACGAGAGCCCATTCGTGAACACGAGGGCAAATATGTGAACACGAGGGGATGTTCGTAATCACAAGGGCCTGTTCGTGAACACTAGAGCACGTTCATGAGCACGTTTGTGAACACGAGGGCATGGTTGTGAACATGAGAGCACGTTCCCGAACTCGAGAACACCAGGGCACATTCGTGAACATGAGGGGACGTTCGTGAACCCAACAGCACATTCATGAACACGAGGGCACGTTCGTGAACATGAGGGCACGTTCATGAACGCGAGGGCACGGTTGTGAACGTGAGGGCATGGTCGTGAACATGAGAGCCTGTTCGTGAACACGAGGGCAAATACGTGAACACGAGGGGATGTTTGTAATCACAAGGGCCCGTTTGTGAACACGAGGGCATGGTTGTGAACACGAGAGCACTTTCGTGAGCACATCTGTGAACACGAGGGCACGTTCGTGAACACGAGAGCACGTTTGTGAACTTGAGAACACCAGGGCACATTTGTGAACACGAGGGCACGCTTGTGAACACCAGGGCACGTTCCTGAACATGAGGGCACGTTCATGAACACCAGGGCACATTTGTGAACACAAGGGCACGTTCATGAACACCAGGGCATGTTCGTGAACATGAGGGCACATTCGTGAACACAAGGGGATGTTCGTAATCACAAGGGCCCGTTTGTGAACACGAGAGCATGTTTGTGAGCACGTTTGTGAACACGAGGGCATGTTCGTGAACACCAGGGCATGTTCGTGAACATGAGGGCATATTTGTGAACACAAGAGCACATTCATGAACACGAGGGCACAGTCGTGGACGCGAGGGCACGTCCGTGAACACGAGAGCACGTTTGTGAACTCGAGGGCAGTTGTGAACTCAAGAACACCAGGGTGCATTCATGAATGCAAAGGGACGTTCGTGAACACGAGGGCACGTCTGTGAACACGAGGGCATGTTTGTGAACACGAGGGCACGTTCATGAACACAAGGGCACGTCCGTGAACACGAGGGCACATTCGTGAACACGAGCGTGTCCCACTCCCTGCGTTGGACGAGCAGGCTTTACCTTATTGACAACTTTCTGCTGCTGAGCGTGCTTCTGCCGCAGGCTGGCGACTTCCCTCCACAGCGCCTCGTTCTCACTGCAAGAGAAGAAAAAGCCATCAGAACCCCCCCAAAGACCCCCGCGCAGCCTCTCAGGCGGAGCAAATAAAGCACGGGGCAAGCTGGAAAACGGCAGCGGGGGATTTGCCGGCATCTCCAGCCGCCGGCTCATTTACAGCCTCCTGGGGCTGCGGGGGGAATTGTGTTCATTAAC